TATATATATATAAGGATTTAATCAATATATAGTTTTGTCGCTCAGATCCCCCTGCGCTAAAATTGTTGCATGAGGCTGCAACTCGATGGATTAGAACTTTGAGGACGGGCTGGTAGGATCCCACTAACCAGACACAGCTGACAAGGCGATAATGGTATACATGTTGGAGTGACATGCTATTTCTGAAGATGAATTCCCTAGGAACTCATAAATAGTTACACAAGGTTATGGTGTGGGTAAAAGTTATTTTGCCAAGAGTCTGTGACTGAGATCACAAGGAGTCTAGGAGAGGTGGTACATGCTGTATCCTACATGTGCTGTGTAAAGTCCCATAGGTGACAAGGGGAGACTTGGCCTGTGGAAAGGATGTGAGGTTCCATACAACGAGGATGTAGGTAGTGATGTCCCAAGTGGGAAGGATATCCCAAAAGCTGGGGGTAACATAGGCTTGGCTGCCATTTTTAGTTTCTCCAGTTCTGCCTCCTGCAGCCTCTTGGCCTTTGCTCTCCTGTTTTGGAACCAGATCTTCACCTGAGTCTCAGTGAGGTTGAGGGAACTGGAGAATTCTGCTCTTTCTGCTATGGACAGATATTGCTTCTGTCTGAATTTCCTTTCCAGGGCCAGCAGCTGAGAGGTGGTAAAAGGTGTCCTGGGCTTCCTGTTCGTTTTGTGTTTTCTCAGGGTGCAGGCTGGTGGGCTCAACCTTCCTGGAGACAGAAGGAAAGAGAAACGGGTTAGAGCAATACTACAATTGTATTATTGATATTTACAAACACCAGGAACATTTTTAGAATCATGAAATTAAGATTGAAACTTTATGACTCTGCTTAGAATTTTCACATTGTATTTTAGAATGTTGTGGTTCCGCCTCTCCCTCTTCTAGTTCTCAAGAATGAATTACATTGTTCACCGGAAAAATACTTATGTATTATGTAAAAACAGCTTGTTTGTAGCAATGTCCTACCTTACAGAAGTCACTATATTGAAATTTGCGGGGGATGAAATGATTCATTATTATATTACTATACAGATATAGCGGTAGGACTCAATATAGCCTGTGCTCAACTTTTAAACTCCATAACATTTAGGGAAATCCTTTTGATTATCCTGAACCTGAAGAAATATTATAGACCAGAGATGCAAAAGTAAAAACTACCCTTTATAGTAAATCAACCTAATGCATTTAATTAGAAAGTTTCTCAAAACTAAACACATGTATGATCATGCATGCTTGCTCAAGTTAGAAAATGCAAGACACATTTTACATTTTCAGACACCTTATGCAGCAGAAGTTTGACTTTCAGTTGACTTACTTGTAGGAGAAGGGGAGAATCTGGAGCTTTGCATCCAGGGGTTCCTGTCTTGTCCGTCAGGGCTCTCGGATTTGACAAGTGCTTCTTCTGAGAGTTTCATGATCCCTCCGACAGAGTAATGGCTGTTCAGAGACATAGGGGAGCCGGGGGTGTCTATTGCTGCCAGTGAGCCCATCCTAGGGCTATGAGATGTGCCGGCCAGTGGGGACACTGCTGGGCTGGAGAGGTCTCTCCCTGGTTTCTTGTCAGCCATCAATGCCTCCACACTGAAGGGCAGGATAGCAGCATTAGTCCTGGGCTTTTCAATTTCTTCCTCCACTGCCATCTTTAGACTGGTCTGCATGGTAGCCTTGCCGAAAGAAGAGTTCTCAACTTTTACACCAAGCTGGGCAGAAGTCATAAGAACGCCAGGGGCCATACAGAGTTCTCCTTCTAGACCTCAAAGAGCCAGGGACATGTACCTTCCATGGGCGACCGACAATGCAAATCCCTGCGCTGGCTGGACGTTGTCGTATATCAAGCTGGAAACTCAGCACTTTCTTACTAATAAAGCGCAGCCAATGACAGCCTGGACCAATGGGAGAGCAGAGGGGGAGGGAGGAGGGCTCTGATAGGTCACATGGCCACTCACACACACACACACATACACACAAGTATCTCTAACTATAGGACCCGGGGGCAGCTTCTCAGTTCCCATTCAAAGCTTTGCTGAGCCGAGCCTTTCATGGAGCCACCAATTGCCCTTTTTTTTGTCATTTGCAGCCTTGTTGTTGACTTGTTAAAGAAAAGAAATGCAAATGGGATTGTTTAACAGCAGCTCAAAATCACCTGAAACACAAATGAAGCATAATTAGTGTGTTTATTATTACTGTTAATCCATCTTCAAAGGGGCTGACTTCTCCCTTTCCCCCCTTATCTTCAAACGACTGAAAATGATACATCTCACCCATAACAAATACAACCTCACTGGCCAACACAACTTTTCAACTTTCATTTACTGTGAAAGCAGGGCAAGGCTCTTCCTACCCACAACAAACCCATTCACACTGTATTCTTTTTATAGATTCTGGAATACACACGAACACAAATACAATATGTGAGTGAGTGTGTGTGTGTTGACACATTATGCATACTATATGTCTATATGTGTATATCAGGATGTATTACATAGCAGGAGTATAAGTATAGAAATGTATACATATTTATTAAACAGCAGTAGTATAAGTATAGAAATGTATAGACACTTATTACATATCAGTAGTATAAATACAGAAATGTATAAAGATGAATACATTAGCAGTAGGATAAGTACAGAAATGTATAGGGATTTATTACATAGCAGTAGCATAAATACAGAAATGTATAAAGATTAATAAAATAGCAGTAGTGTAAGTACAGAAATGTATAGGAATTTCCAAAATAGCAGGAGTATAAGTACAGAAATGTATAAAGATTAATAAAATAGCAGTAGTATATAAGTTAAGAAATGTATAGAGTTTTATAACATAGCATTAGTGTAAGGACATAAATGTTTAAAGATTTATTAAATATCAATAGTATAAGTACAGAAATGTATAGTGATTTATTAAATAGCAATAGTATAAGCACATACATGTATAGAGATTTTTTTACATAGCAATAGTAAAAGTGCAGTACTATATAGAGATTTATTACATAGCAGTAGTATAAGTACAGAAATGTATAAAGATGTTTTACATTGCAATAGTATAAGAAATGTATAGAGATGTATTATACATAGTGGTAGTATAAGTACAGAAATGTATACAGATTGATTACACAGCACTAGTATAGGTACAGAAATGTATAAATATATATTACATATCAGTAGTATTAGTACATACATGTATAAAGCCTGCAAAAAGGATCTAAGTTATCACAAAAACTTGCATTTCTATTTTCTATAGGGTGTCACTTAAACTCCAGACTTTCTGCATTTCCAGAACGATTACCTAGGTATAAATCTACTTAATAATATGTGTAATAAATGTGCAGAATTGAAAAAAAATGTGTTCTAATATATACATGCATGTAGTTACAGAGAACTGTGGAGCTCTTTCTTTCTGTATGTGTGTGAATATATTTCTGCATGCATATGTGATCAAACAGAACTATAGAAGAGTACATTATAACATTATAAAATAGAGAGAATAAGAGAGAGTGAAGGAGAGAGTGTATGTAAGAGAGAGAGAGAGAGAGAGAGAGAGAGAGAGAGAGAGAGAGAGAGGGGGTATAAACATGTTCAATAGATATAATATAAATAAGGCACTCTATACATTCACATGCATGCACATATATTATTGCATATGTGGGGAAATGAGCAGTACATAATATAATGATTGATCTCTTGCTGGGACAGGTTTATTGATAGCTGCAGGGCTCTAATCTCCTAAAAACACAAAGACTGATCAGTCATTTAAAGGTAATTATATCAGCGGGCAGACGCTATTTTTCCATAGGCAGCAGTCTTTATGAGCCGCTCCCTGGCAATGAAATATCCAGCATCAGTCCCTGCACTGTATACAGTCCCTGGGAGGGAAAGCTCAACTTGTATACAAGGAGGACACCCTACCTACTGAGACCTGGGAAAATAACTTATTATTATTATTATTATTTTTATCATTGCCATCCAATAGTTTCCCCTTATACATTAAGGGGAAATTATTGGATGGCCATGGTGATAATAATAATCATCATAATAATAATATTATAATCTACATTGATCTATTTATTAAATGATATGGAATAGAGAAGTGTGGCTTTAGGGTCTATTATCCTGCCTGCCAAGTTATACAAATGTACTTACATAGGACATGAAATGATAACACGAGATGATGTGTGATGGGAAACTCAATTTCAACTTCAACTCAATTTTAACTATTAGAAATGTATAAGGATGATACTACCACCAATATTAATAATTAAAATATAAGAATTATTATTTTTCTTTCTTTCTTTCTTTCTTTCTTTCTTTCTTTCTTTCTTTCTTTCTTTCTTTCTCTCTCTCTTTCTTTCTTTCTTTCTTTCTTTCTTTCTTTCTTCCTGCCTGCCAAGTTATACAAATGTACTTACATAGGACATGAAATGATAACACGAGATGATGTGTGATGGGAAACTCAATTTCAACTTCAACTCAATTTTAACTATTAGAAATGTATAAGGATGATACTACCACCAATATTAATAATTAAAATATAAGAATTATTATTTTTCTTTCTTTCTTTCTTTCTTTCTTTCTTTCTTTCTTTCTTTCTTTCTTTCTTTCTCTCTCTCTTTCTTTCTTTCTTTCTTTCTTTCTTTCTTTCTTTCTTTCTTTCTTTCTTTCTTTCTTTCTTTCTTTCCCCTCTTACTTTGTATAACTTTATATTACTCCTTCTATGTTATCTAGTATCACATGGAGGAAAAAAACAGGATCACAGTTTGTCCCCCCTGCGGAAGGGCTAATGGCGAAGTGACAGACGCCAAGCGCTGTTGCACCCCTCTATCAGTGCAGACTGTAGGTGAGCGCCCATCTCCAGCCCCCCTGCCTGCTGGTGGGAACGGGGGTGCCCTGTCTCCCTGGCCCTCAGTGGTCCACAGTCCCTCTGCTAGGGTTTAGTGGCTTCTCAGGGAAGCGTCTGCATTGCTAATTGCGAGTATAAACAATCTGTCACGATTAGTCAGTGGCTCTAATAGGCAGACAAGTGATGTTGTTTTTAGGCGCCAGCAGCGGTGTGATCAAAGGCAAGGGGCTGGAGGGGACCATTCAGGAGGTTAACTCACATCAAGGAGCCCTGCAGGGACAGCAGCCCATTCAGCTTGAACAATCCCCCTGCCCCACCATGCCTTTCCCAAAGCAGCCCTAATACACGCTCTGTTGTTTCATAGGGAAGAAATGCAAACAGCAAAAAAAAAAAGTCAATCTTCCATCAGTGCACATGGCGTGGAAGGGGCTCAAAGAAAGTTACAGTGCAGTAAAAGATGGCATTTTTGTGTAAATCCCCCATGCCATGGTATTGTATGGAGATGTCAGCCAGTCTCCAGGTCTCTCTGGGAGATGTTAGGATAGCTTGATAAGGTGATATGTCTGCCTGTCTGTCTGCCTCTTCATCCTCCAGTCTTCACAAATCATTAGCTTTATCTCCCTAATGATGGGAATAGCCTTTGATTAACAGTTTGCTCCTAGTGTATATTAGAGAGTTAATGACATTATTCTGCTGCACTACAGATAGCCCAGCGTCTGTGATGAGTGAAGGCTCCTTGTAGAGGAGGAGGATGGTCACTGTGGTCATACAGGCACCCAGGTTATCACACATCTGTTTGTTTAGTCAATTCCATCTACAACTACGGAGCAAGGCAGATCAATCAGGCACAGGCAACCTGTAGAAAAAACAGCTGCTGAGGCACTACATGTACCAGCATTCCCTACTGATTCCAGGCATAGGGCTATGGCAGCTGTGACAACCACCATGAGTTTGCTGGAACCTGCAGCTCCACAATAAGGTGTAATACATCGTTTTAGCAAAAGTTAATAAATGCCTACTAGAGCTACAAAGTATACAAGGAATGTCTACATTGTTTCAAACTGCCCTGCAACATTACTGCACAAACTTGAGTCATAGATTGCATCAGGAAACAACAGACATCTAGTATCAGAAATGATCTGAAAATGTTTTTAATGGTGAGCGTTGTGCAAACAATCAACTTTTATATTAGTATTAAGAGCTACAAACAATGGACAGGGTGTTCCTATTCCTAGCTAAATATATCTCTTTATAGAAGCAAGTTATGTAATATTTTTCCCATTCTTACATATACACCATGTGTACTCATTTTGGGAATGTGGAGCTCGGTAGGGTATCGGCGCTAGATAACAATATTGGACAATTAGCATCCCAAACAGCTTCTGTTAATATAATGAATGTCCTATCAAAACCAATTACCCAGAGCGTTTTTTTCTCAATGTGAATACAACAAATGACGCTAGGAGTGAAAAGAAAAGGCCTCTAGAAGTCATTTGAAGACATTGTCTGGCTTTTGTAAACGTTAGCTTTGTGTTTAGTGGTAAAGAGAGTTCACAAGACAAGATCCTTTTGTGCAGGAGACAGAGTCAGCGAGAAAAGAGGGAGCTTGTCAGACTTCAGACCGGCCAGAGACTCCATAGACTTGTACTGAGACTCCGAGCAAAGAGCCCCTGTACAGCACACAACCCGATCCCATGGGTGATAGCACTCACTGCTGGACAAAGCATGGCAAGCCAGAACTTTCATGTCATTTCAAGGGACACTTTGGGCTCGATTTACTAAGGGATTAGAGGCTGTTCACCCAGTAAAGTACTTTGCACAGTGTTTACCGTAAGGGCATATAAGGGAAAGCTGATTTTATTTGGAATGTCCAAAAATGTGGAAGGAAAATTAAAAAAAAAAAACTATTTCCCCCCCCTAGTACATGATTGGGTATTAAAAAAATAATAATAATTCACTAACATTCACTTTGC